AGTAAGTGTGTCTGCCTGTATTCGCGGAAAGCGGTTCGTGCTTTGCGCTGTATATATTCCTCCAGATCGTAGTCGGGACGTAGGTGTTATCGATGCCCATTTAGCTACTCTTCGTGAATTACGTGATGCAACTCCAGATGCTGACCTTTTGCTTGCTTGTGGTGACTACAATCAACCACACATAGCATGGGATTGTCTTGATGATGGAATCTTAAACCTTGATCCTTCCACGACGTCTGCTGCCAGTGCTGCTCTGATGGATGGAACGAGCTTCCTGAATATCCGGCAATACAACTCTATTCGCAATCACCTGGGGCGCATCCTAGATTTGGTTTTCTGTGATTCCGATTGCAACATTGTAGTTAACGAAGCGGTGTCCCCATTGCTGGCTATTGATTTGCATCATCCACCGATTTTATTCTCCTTACCAACTCAATCCGATTGTGTTGACCGTGTGGAATCCCTTGATGCTGGTGAACATACGCTCGACTACTCAAAAATCGACTTCGCCATGCTCAACGAGTTCCTGATGAGCTGTGATTGGAGCAGTATTCTGGCAACAAATGACGTCAACGATATGGCAGCACAATTTTGCAACATAATTTGCAATTGGCTCACCGATAACACTCCAAGACGAAAACCTCCTATATCTCCTGCTTGGAGTTCTCCTCTCCTGCGGCTTTTGAAACGCGATAAAAATTCCTGGCAGCGTAAACTTCGCCGACATCGAACTTCTGAAACGAAACGCAACTTTCATCGCGCTTGCAACGCCTATCGTAAGCTTAATTCAACCCTATACAAGTCATATGTCTTGCGTGTCCAGACCAATTTACGTAGAAATCCCAAGAGCTTCTGAAAGTTTGTGAACTCCAAGCGAAAATCTTCGAATATTCCTTCATCCGTATTTTTTGGCGATTTGGAGTCTACTTCTATGCTCGAATCGTGTGATCTATTTTCCCGCCACTTCAGTTCTGTTTTTTCGGATTCAGCCGCCAACGCAGATGAAGTAGAAAGAGCGGCTTGCAATGTTCCTGAGGGTCTCATCGATTTGCGTACATTTGTGGTTAGCAATATGTATGTCGTTAAAGCTGTTAGGAAGTTGAAGAAATCTGTTTCACCGGGTCCTGATGGTGTACCTGCAATCATTTTTTGCCGCTGTGTTGCTGTTTTAGCTGATCCCCTAGCTCGCATCTTTACCGCTTCGTTGCACCAAGGAGTTTTCCCCGAAATATGGAGACATTCCTTTATGTTCCCTGTCCATAAGAAGGGCGACAAACGTGACGTGACAAATTATCGTGGCATAACAAGTCTATCTGCAGCTTCAAAATTATTCGAGATCATTGTGAACGATGCTATCTTCTTTCATGTCAAGAGCTACATTTCAGCAACGCAACACGGATTTATGCCAGGACGCTCAGTTACATCAAATTTGCTGGAGTTCACCTCAACATGTATAAATCACTTGGAAAATAGGGCTCAAGTAGATACCGTTTATACCGATCTGAAAGCGGCATTCGATTGCATCGATCATGGTATTCTTCTTCGGAAAATGTCTCGCCTGGGAATTTCGGATGGTTTGGTTGATTGGCTGAAATCATATCTTTCCAACAGAACACTTCGTGTCAAGCTGGGTTCGTGCACTTCATCACCATTTGCTGCATCCTCCGGTGTTCCCCAGGGCAGCAATTTAGGACCATTGCTGTTCACAATCTTCTTCAACGATGTGACGCTCCTCTTGCCGAGTGGTTGTGTGCTCATATACGCCGATGATCTAAAACTATACATTGTTGTCAAGAACGTCGAGGATTGCCGTCAGCTCCAAGCAATGTTAGACCAATTTGTTGATTGGTGCCGCTTAAACAAGCTTTCCGTCAGTATATCAAAATGTGTGGTCATGACATTTAATAGCACAAGAACGTCAATCGTATTCGATTACTCAATTGATGGATTTGTACTAGAAAGAGTAGAACAAGTAAGCGACCTAGGTGTAATGCTGGACCCTAAACTTACGTTTGAATTACACCGTTCAATGGTAATCACTAAGGCTAATCGTCAGCTTGGTTTTATATCAAGAATCTCAAGAGATTTTTCGGATCCGTTCTGTTTAAAAGCACTGTACTGTTCACTCGTTCGTCCGATTATCGAGACTGCATCTGTTGTTTGGACTCCCTACCAACTTTCCTGGAACATCAGAATAGAACGTATCCAAAAAACATTCATTCGTCGAGCATTAAGACAACTTCCTTGGAGAGATCCACTAAACTTACCTCCGTATGCTGAGAGATGTCGCTTGCTAAGCATGGACACGTTACAACGACGGCGACAAATTCAACAGGCAACATTCGTCGCGAAGTTATTAAGTGGTGAAATTGACTCTACCCACTTACTCTCTTGCTTGAACTTTCGTGCGCCAAGCAGATTTCTACGCTCAACGTTCCTATTGCGTCAAGACTCACACCGCTCTTCTTTTGGACAACATGAACCTGTTACAAGTATGATTCGCACGTTTTCTACAGTTGAAGAGTTGTTCGAGTTTGGGGAACCTGCTGCTCAATTCCAGAGACGTATTATTAACTCCAGATACATTTAGTATTTGTTATGGCTTCTGGTTCATTAAGACTTATTGTCAGATGGATGTATTAAATAAAAATAAAATTCACTGTAAAAAAATTCACTGTACTCCAGTTATTAATAAAAGGGAAAATCCATGAAATATTTTATTTTCGATCAAATATTTTAAATCTTAGGATTATTGCTTTCACAACTTTTTGTTTTTATTTTTTTTTATTTAATCATTTGTTTAAGAGATTTTTAGCCGAAGGCTAGCTCATCTCTGCTTTCACTACTTTAAATACACTCGTAAATTCATTAATTACTGTAATTACTGTAAAACAATAATATTTCAATTATTTCCAATGCACCTTAAATACCTTTTATTATACTAATTATCGTTTTGTTATTTATTTAAAATACTGATCAAGGTATTTAAATTCATAATATTTAAATTTTTAAAGTTTTTAAATTACTGTCAATTGTATTCTAAATGCCATGCACTCATGCCAGGAATTGCGTCCTCCTCAAAAACTAAACTTCTTTGCAATTTCGAAGAGAAGCAAACTCGGTGACAAGGTTCTGGCACAGACAAACAGACATAAATCATTGAATATTTCTCACTGTAAAACATCGTCGCTAAAACATTACCGCCATCTGTTGAGTACACTGTGGTGGGTAGTACGCTGAACAGATGGCGGTAGTGTATAAACGTCAAACTCAAGGGAAATGACTGGTGGTGGTACTACCAGCTACGACACTTTTGAATTGCCCATTAAATGCTTGTTCGATGATGAACAACTTGTGAGTGTTATGTCTGTGTGTCTGTGGTTCTAGTTTCTTTTGGATGACACCAAATTTTTGGGAGCAAATTCGTGCATGCATGCTTTCTCCTCCGTCTCGGTGTCAAAATTTGGTTAATTGGTAGTAGCTATACTGAAGATCCGAGAGATGTCGCCCCTTCAGTGGTAGGAAAATCATTTTTGCAGTATGGAGAATATCAGAAAAGCCACGATTTGTGACTAAACATGCTTTCACAGAAGGAAACAAATAAACAAGTGTTTACCTTATCACCATAGTAATGTACTCGTGCAATTTTTGTGCACCTAAAACTGCCCATAAAGACGATAATGAATAAAAACTGAAAATATTCATGCATTTCCAAATAGTTTACTACCATTCCCATACATTCGAAGTTACTGGCCCTCTGGATGTAGATGATGTCAAAAACAACAAAACATGATTAATTCTCAGCGCACGAGAGAATCTAAATAAATACAATAATGAGATGTCACACGCTATGATCTGATATGTAGAATATGTTTACCAATAATGTGGGCAAAATGTATAACCCAAGTCAGCTAATTTATATTCAAACAAAATTCATATAAGGATCATATTTACCAATCTAGGTGATCTCTTAGTGCATTTGGGTAAACTGATTTTAGCATGCATGATGGTTTTGATTCCAGTTACGATATTTTTACACCTTACCACCCTCCTAACTTGAACGTAAGATCGCGCTAGTGTGCGTGTTACAAACGTCATAATGGTTAACATTAGAAAGCGTATACACATGGCAGAATTCGGCATACCTGCTGATACCATAACAAGTAGAATCATCATTGTAGTACACGCTATTTCAAAACTACCCAAATTTGCGTAGAATCCACCCAGATCGGTCAAAACTCAACCTATCCAAAAATGGGTAAACTATGTTGGGAGTGTGACAAGTTAACAAATTAACAACATCGACATGAATCTGATCGACTTTGTTCATTTGTCAACTTGTCACTTTACCCATTTTTGGGTAGGTTCAGTTTTGACCAATCTGGGTGTATTCTACACAAATTTAGGTAGTTTTCAAATATCGTGTAGTATATTGACATGTGAATGAGCCTTTGGAGCAAAGCTATCCATCCTTTTATTTTTAGGTAATTCATCCAGATGTCACGCCATTTTAGATTTTGACGTTCATTCAGAATCATCATCGGGACGACGTGTGTGTACATTCAGAAGAGTTTCTTAACAAATTTTCTTAATATTTTTCACTTGAAGTTTTAGGAAGATTATATTTTGCTCAAAAAAATTGGATTCTCGATTGTTTGCACTAAAGTATGGCAAAGTTGACGTACGTTTATCGTTCGGATGAAATGAATTGTGTCAAAGTATCAAAGCGACAGCTGCCTTTGATAGGAGGAGAAAACTTAATGGTAATGATTAGATCTCTTTGATTCATTCATTGTTTAGTACTAACTTCATGCACACATAAATAATTATTATTTTCAACAGATGCTCATGGATTTAAACTCTAGAGGATTGGTATTTGATCATCCACCAGTAAGAGGACAAGAACTTGACGAGTTTATGAAAAAATATCGTCTCTTAACTCCTGCTGAATTACGACTGTCTTTGCACGTACCAACTATGGAATTTACGTCTGTTCTTAGCCAAAATGTGCCTTGCGTTGGGTGCCGAAGAAGCGTTGAGAGACTTTTCTATCAATTGATGCTTTCTGGTCATCCTACTCTTGATCCGATCATTATAACTGGCAAAGGTGTTCTAACCATTGGTGAGGATAAATTGAAATCACCGCAAGCCGTATGTACTCTTCTTCACAAACACAAGATGGTGCTGGATGAGTTGCTAGATAATCAGTTCCGAAATAGGAAAAGTTCACGCTGCAATCTACATTCGTTGGACTCATTTCGGTCGCGCCCATTTTCTGAAACATGGAGAGATGTATGGAACTGTATGAAACAACAATGCAAGGATGAGTTAGCTGTGATTGAGGCTTCAGAACTTCATACCACTCTTGATGGTTATCTGAAAAAGCATAAGTTTTGTCAAGAGTGTCGGACAAAGGTTGATATCAGCGACTATTTTGATGGTTGTTTTTAAATCTCAATTTATTTTGATTTTGTTTCAGGTGGAAAAGGCATATTCTTTATTGGTGGATGAAAGCAATCCTGCTAAGGAAAAAGGATATGTTCCTCATTTATACTCTGGAATCAAGCGTTGTCTGTCCGATAAGCATATCCATCTGCAGACAAAATTGGAATATATTGACAGCCTGATCAAACGTGCGGAACCGGAACTCAGTGGAAGGTATAAATGTTGTGTTGTTATTTTATTATTCAAATATGTTGTCCACTCTTGAGGGGGCGAGAAGTTCCTAAAATTTGCGACAGTACATTTAATAGGCCCCATACACCCTGCAATTGGTTGACAACCAGCTTAGGTTGATGCTCGGTACAGTACAAAATTGACAGTTGGTAAATCGGTTGAATCAATCAAAATCAATGCGTTTTGATTTAAGATCGAGATAGTCTAAAGTGCACGCCACACGAGAAAAGGTTCGTCACTATTTCCATCAATATTTTCAACAATATTTTCGGTAGGTCATTAATACAGAGCCGCTCCTTACTAACATCATTTTATCTGATGGAATATTCCGAGTCTAAACACATCCACCCTGACAAAAGTTGCCGAGGAACAGGCCCCAACTGCTGATGTAGTCCGACAACCAGTTGAAGAATCAAGTTTACAACCAGTTTGCAGTGTGTATAGGCTGTATAATAAGCGTGGAAGACTGAGTGACACTAGCACCTAGCTTGTGGACGTCATATTTGAACCACCCCTTTTGATCATTCTCTTACACAATAAATTTCAGAAATTCTAGGCATCGAGAGCGACATGCAAAAACCCTAGAAATTGCACAAGAAGAGGTTTTAACATGCATTGGTATGTGTCTTTATGAAAGGCTGCGTCGTATAAGTGTTTGCCTGCGTGAAGAAGAAAATGCTTGCCAAGTCCTAGCAGCTGTAGCAGTGCATGCATTGTGTCGAAGTTTCGATATGGCAGTTGAGAATAAGCAAGGGATTAGCAATTTAGAGCTTTTGTATGAAGAAATAAGTCGCGAAGAACGTTCCAAAGAACTAAAAAAGGAGCAAAAGAAATTAAAGAAGCGAAAGAAGCGTAATGAGAAAAAACTCACGGACAGCACGGCAGAATGTGATGCTGTCAATGTTTCCGAAAATTGCTCATGTTTACCAGATGACATAGAGGAAGACGATAGAGATGATCGTATTATACTTTGCGACGGGACTATCATTGATGCATCCCCAAAACCGTTCATTACATTGAACAAAAGCGAGACTAGTGTTACGAAATCAAATGTCATCACAAATGGATGTATCTCATGCCAAGATTCCGCAACCACGAATTTCTCCCCCAGTAATGTGTGTACCCGAGCTTCTATCGATGGGGGCTACTCATCTGAGCCTCTTCATACAGAATCTTCACACATGTCCTCAAACATCGATTCCACAACGTCTAGTTTGGTTAGTACTCCGGAAGGATCAGAGGTGGCATGTTCAGAGGGTTTTTGTAATCATGGGGGATTGACGCATTCAAAAATTAATTCTTCACTAATGCAATGCAATAACGGTATCGGAACTTTACAATCAACAAGCTTCAAACAAAATTATTTTCCGGGACTTCCAATGACATTACAGGAAATGCTGGTAAGTTTTATAACATACTACTCATGAATAAGCACTGTACTGTACTTTCTTCACAGGATAAATCATCGACTGAAGATGACGATGCTGAAAACGATTTCATCCCTAATGAATGTATATTGGAATTCAAATCCCGCAGCAATGCTATAAAACAACAAAGGGAGGCTCTTCGCCAACAACTTTTGAACAATTTTAAACGGTTATGCGTCAACCATTGCAAACAGGAGCAATCAGATAAAAATCCTAACTAACTAAGACATTTTTTACTAATAATTTGATTACAATGTCTGATAATTAAACCGTTATTTTCAATAAAATGATGTAGAGGCAGAACGCTTCGTATAGAGTAATTTTTGTTTTGATTTTATGTATATATAGGTATATATTTATATTTCAATCTGACCGAAAACAACATTATTTCAAGAAGGCTGACAACTCTTCGGTTTTCTCAGACAGGCACAACCGCTCAAAAGTAAATGCTCCAAACCAGTGTCCAAACTGTTAGTTGCATAAATACAGGAATACCCGCGTTGAGCGGTGGGTAGACGGCACCCACCGCCATTTCTCAACAGTTTTTCAACCAACTGAGCTAACGTTTTGTGAGTGTCATGTTTGCGGCCCTAATTACATACAAAAAATCAGCTCAATTGGTTGAAAGGTTGCTGAGAAATGGCGAATCGGTAATTCCTGTATTATTTTCTTACAGCAACTTACAGTAAAAGCAAAAAAAGTAAGTACGGGAACAAACCTACTACTTTTGTAAACAAGGACTTCACCAACAGATTTCTCGCTAATAAAAGCTCACTCCTGCACGATGCTGGTAGTGACACTACCGTTTTTTTTTTTTTTTAATTTGTTCTAAGGATATTTTATTCCACGGGCTTATTCATCTCCGAGAATCCCAATAGAAAAAAAAAATCTAGACTTCCCTGGGTACTTGCCCCACAATTATACTACTGCATTTTTTTAACTTTTTTTTTAGAATTAAAGTTTTAAAAAATAGCAGGTGCGCTGATAGCAGCTTCTTATTATTATTATTATAATTATACTTATTAGTAATATTATTCTTCTTCTTTGCCTTTCAAGCTTATTGCTTATCGCACATTAGCGTATTGTGGGCTATCATCTTAGTTGCTAGATGCACTTCCACAGTTATTAACTGAGAGCTTTCGATGCCTGTACCATTTTTGCATTAGCGAGAAGTCTTCCCCTTATGATGTGTTTTTCTTAGGGGGACCATATTGACCCCATCCTACCCTACAGAAAGGGTTGATACGTACAAATATAAGCCCTTTTTGTGCATTATGGATCGTGTGCGATTTATTTGTTCGCATTCCACAAATGCATCTTTGATATGTATACGTTCTGATTGTCTGGGTACTGAATCCGTCGCTTGAATGTTGAATGGTTGCCAATCTTCTTGATATGATATCTTCGCCCTTACTTTATCCGAGTAACACCGCGAAGTGGCCAAAATCTATTATGTGATAAATAAAATTGTGAAATCACATGATGATAATTCAAGAAAAAAAAGGGAGTTTTTATTGAATGTTCGAACTTGTAGGATGAAACTTACGGAAAACCCGTATATTTATTAACAAAATTATGACAAAACAGTTGGCGAAAATGACTGACGCGGATGATCCATATCTTCGTAGCTTGCAGGGTTATTGCCGGATGTTTCGCTTGTTATAGTGAAGCTTCCTCCACGATCAGTTAATTCGCGATGCAACAATAGTAGAGTAAATGGACGAAGTGCTAAATTGAATATTGCAAAAATAGCTGAAAAAATTCCTCCCCTGCTGGGAAAATATGAGATTATTCCGATTAAGTCAAACAAGAAACTCGTAGCATTAATAAAACATGCCTGAAAAGAAAAAAAAATGATTTAATACTGGTTGCAACTGTTTGGAACAACCATAACAAGTAACATACTATTTGAACTGCTTCCGTGGATTCTCTGCACTGGATTGCCCAAAATAGTGAGATTATGAAAATGAAATTATAAAACTGATATGCTGCAGGTAGCCAATAGCTGTTGAGTGCTGATGCTATCAATAAAAAATGTATAACTGTGACAACCTAAAATTACCAGACATATTAGAAATTACTTAATTTTTTTTATTAGATATTTACCTTGACACGTAATTGAGGAGTATTTAAAGCGCTTTGAAAGTCCATTTTGCGATCGGAAAAGTACTTTTCGTTGCAAAAATAAATCAGATTTTGTATGTTGGGATCATTTTACTGCCATATATACATATTTTTATGTATTTGACAAATAATAGTACAATGTCAAATGAGTCACTTCGACACACATAACACGTTTGAGTAAAATATTAAAAAAAATATATTCAAGCTGCAAGCCGCCCACGAAAACGACACACAGAGGAGAAACTAGGGGAAAAAACTTGCCAAAATTATTTTCTGCTGTTTTGAGTGGTATTTGGCATGGAAACAATGTAAAAGTAGCTATTATTAATTTTGAGTCAGCATGAGAAAAAAAAAAATAAACAAAAACTACAAGGTACAGCCCTATGGGGTTGTACCATAGAGGTAACTCTAAGACTAGAAGGTCCCGAAATAACGTGCTCAAATTTTTGGCTCAGCTCTGGTACTCTCTTCGGTCCCAAGCTAATCGATTCACCCCTCGAAACATAGGAAAAACGAATAACCCCTCATTTCATCTGTCAAACTTTCATAGCGAATCAAAACAAACATTGCGTAGTACTAGAATTTCGACTAGAATGGGATACGTTAATCGTTTGCTTGGGACCAATAGGCTAGTCAAGTAGTGAGCCAATTTAAAATCGTTAGTTTCGTATTGATTGTTGGTTGTACGCAGTGGTGACGTAGGACTACGTGGGCTTATATAATAATTCTTATTTGTTAACTGCAGCAGGAGCTTGTGTTTTGGGTACGAATAGGAATTTGAACGGGGTTCTCTCTGTTTATACTCTTTAGTATGACGCGCTTGACATATGTAGATGGCCCACAATGACTCACTAAGAGCTACTGATTCCAATCAATAGCGGTGCGGCTTCTTCCTCCTTCTATGGATACTCCTGTCGGCTGCAGCTTGCTGCTTGCAGGCAGCCTTTCTTTGTGAACTATAGAACACCACCACTCACCTCGCGGTGAATGAATAAACACCGTTTGGTGAGACCGGCTTTTCACAGGCAATCGATGATAATTTTAATTATCATAGCAACAGTGGCACATTCGTGCAATTTTCAATAGTGACAATTTGAAAAATGATAGTCTTAATTTTTACAGATTCGTAGAATTAAATCCATCATCTCTGGATCAAAATCAGACCACTTTCATGCCGCGACCGACTTTGGTTTTTGAAATTGCACCCAAAATTTTGCCTTAAACTACGTGCTATGTTAGATTTAAACATATCTACATAGAGCTGGAATTAGGCGTAACAGCTTTTGTAAACAATGACTTCTCTCGATGATTTTTAGGAATTCAAGGCACGCCCAAGCAAATCAACATTACCGCCGGGTAGGGGAAGTCTTACCCTACCTGATGGTGATGTTGTTTTGCGTGGGCGAGCCTTGGTTTCAAGACATCATCGAAAGAAGTCATTGTTTACAATAACAACATTGACATGAATCCGATCGACTTTGTTCATTTGTCAACTTGTCACTGCCAACATAGTTTACCCATTTTTGGGTAGGTTCAGTTTTGACCGATCTGGGTGGATTCTACCCAAATTTGGGTTGTTTTGAAATAGCGTGTATGTTGTTTGGAATGAGGGTGACGCCCTTGACATAGATGGCCCACAGCGACTCACGAAGAGCTACTAATTCCGATCAATAGCGGTGCGGATTATCCCTCCTTCTATGGATGCTCATGTGGGCTGCAACTCGCTGCTTGCAGGTAGCCTTTCGTTTTATACTGCAGAACGCCACACGCCACACGCCACACGCCACACGCCACACGCCACACGCCACACGTTGCTGCTGCTGATGCCGACGACCGGACACCACCACCGGACACGGTGATTGGAATTGAGGCCTGCGGTTGAGGCCTGCCTTGATAGATAGCTGCTTACGGGGAGCCTTTCGTTGCGTATTGAAGAACACCACCACTCACATCGCGGTGATTGGATAAACACCTTTTGGTGAGACCGGATGGAATTCAACTTTGAAATCTGTGCTAGGGACATCTCTTTTCCTAGGCAATCGGTTATAATTTTAAATATCATAGCAACAGTTGCACATTCGTGCAATTTTCAATAAAGACAATTTGAAAAATGATAAAGTCTTAAATTTTAAAGATGTGTCAAAATATTTCTGATCGATTGGTGATAAAATTATTGAAATTGGTCCAGGGGCCACTGAGCTATTAACGTTCAAAATCTTTCATAATTTTGTTATATGTTCCATTTTCGGTTTTCACAAAGTGTACCCCCATATAGAAATCACAGACGTAGTTTTACGTCAAAATTGCCAAATTTGCTTTAAATCATGTAGAAGATATGGGTTTTAAACGGGTCGCAAACGTCAACTTGAAGTTTGATTCATTCATAGATTATATGATCGAACCAACCAAGATTATAAAATCGGGGGACACTTGAACCAATAGTAATTTTATGATACGCATTTAAACTGTAATTTCATCGGCAATTTTTTTAAATTTGCGCATATTTAGAGAACGAATCTACTCTACTAACTTTTCAGATTACTTTAAGAATATTAACCTTAGATTGTAAGTTTGATTAACCTTGTGTATAGTTTGTATTTTGTACGTGTGGATTTTGAATAGAAATAATTTCATGCTCTAGGATTAATTAAAAATTTGTATCGTAAACCACATTTCAAACCTGCTTCTTCCTTCTCCCATCCAAAAAATTGTAAATCTCCACTAACCTCGAGACAACCGCGAGTATTCGGTCCAGTTCCTTTAACTTGACATATAAGACAGTAATAACATCGAGGTAGCTCTAAGACTAGTAGGTCCCGAAGAAACGTGCTCAACTTTTTGGCTTAGCTCTGGTACTATCTTCGGTCCCAAGCTGATCGATTCACCCCTCGAAGCATAGGAAAATCCACTAACCCCTCATTTTATCTGTCAAACTTTCATAGCGAATCAAAACAAACATTGTGTAGTACTAGAATTTTGACTAGAATGGGGTACGTTAATCGTTTGCTTGGGACTAGTCAAGTAGTGAGTCAATTTAAAATCGTTAGTTTCGTATTGATTGTTGGTAATAATGTATAACGAAAATGATAACTCGGCTCTGTAAAGTTTATTCGATTGATCCTGTACAAATAAAGTACCGTAAAACGGGTTAACATTGATAGTTTTTTAAAGTATATTGTAAATACTTTTTACAGCAATGACTGTTTTTCAAATTTTATATTTTTAAAACAAGTACTGAGGATCCAAGAGCTAATTCGTTAGTAATATGTTTAACGAAAATTAAAGCATTTGCACTATTTTGTTTAGTTTTGTGACCAAACTTCAGTATTTTGATTTGGGGTTACTTTATCGATGAATAAAGAAAAAAATGAGTGAAACTTAAATAATTTATTTCTTTAAATATGAATGAGTATATAATCAGAAAACTCCATAGCCAATAAGAATACAACATTGAATTTGTGATGGCTGTATCGAAAATACATTTCATAAGTGATGGTTTGAGTGCTTTTTCAAAAAGGCGAAAACATGAAATTGGTTTTTTACTATTTTGGTAAAATATATAACACATAATATATAAAACTATATGCCATATCAACGGAAATACCCTAAGCTACAATATGGAACCAATGTTTCTTATTTGGAAAAAGCACAGCGAGTATATAGTTTATATTATACTATCAAAGTTACCCGCATTATCAAAGATACCCCGTTTTGCGGTAATTATAAAAAAAAACTTTTCAGATTCCTTCACTTAAACATCAATACATACGTTCTCCAAAGGTCTACTGTAAATTCGTCTTGAATAAGGAATTTTAAATGACCTGCGCTCGTACTTAACTAATTTACGTGACTCACAATTTTTGACGAACTCCTTCACCTTTGCTAACACACGTGGGAAGAAAACAGATTTCGGTACTTTTCTTTATGAAGGCATTCTGATCGTTACCGGAAATTAGATCTGTGTTAGAAATGTGTACTTAAATGTTATTGAGATGAGAGTCGAGATCTTCCTTGCATGGTTCTGCAAACTGCCGTTCAATTTAGAGGGGTCCTAGATGTTTCTGTAACATGTCCATTAAGTCGTCTAAAATGTTTATGTCTAAAATGGTTTGGAAAATTCATTTACGCAAGGTATTTACTATATTTTTACAGATTCTTTTGACATAGGTATCAATTATAATTTGCTTTGCATATATTTTATATAGAATTTTGGCCTTAGGTTGGTTTACGGAGTTTTTCTGTGTACAGATTTTGATAAACCTAGAGAAGGTCTATCGTTTTGGGGGGTGGGGCTGTTTTATTTGGGTTCTTTATCGTTGCGTTGGTCTTCTAGAGTGTTCGTGGTTGATTTGTCGTTTCCGTTGTCGTTGCCTTGGTCGTCGTTGGTAGTTTAGTGTGGTTGTTATTTATATTTTATCAAATAGTTCTGCGTCACTGAGGAAGCAGAATAGGGTGGCAGTACTGACTGGATCGTTGCTTAGCACGTCTCTGATGCTTAATGGGATATCGTAAAGATGTCGAGGACCATGGTATTTGGGGCACATGCAGATTAAATGTTAAACTGTTTGTGGAACACTGCCGTCTCTGGTTAAGTTGTGGGAGATTCTAGTGTGGCCCGTTAGTAGTGTCGATAGCACCACTTGTTCCTTGTGGATTGGTGGGTCTTCTCGTCTGGTGGTCTCTTCTTTAACCTTTCTATTGGTCAGCGTTCTGGTCAGCAGTTATTCCGTTTCCCATGTTTTGACACAAATGCCCAACAGTTGCAATGGTGAACAAAATTATCACAGATTGCCTGCAAAAAAAAGGTTTTCTAGCTCAGTCGCCGAATATTGATACCAAGCCACTGGGGCAGCTCACTAATAATGTAATAATAATAGGGGTTAGGATGACTACAACAGCGTTGTTTCGGAGTCTGAACTTTTGTCGTAGTGGTCGATGGCAGAAATCGACGCGAAGTGTTCCGCAAGTAGATTGGCAACGGTTGAGGGGTCACGTGTGAGCAGGCATGGAAAATCATTTGCATTCATTTCGTGCATTCATTTACATTCATTTGCCTCTAACTTTTTTTCAACAGCATTCCGCAAAATGATGT